TAAATAAATGCTTTGTTTTGTTTGGGGTTTGGAAATGCAACCACTGGCCTGGATAGTAAATTATGATTGAGTCAATAAACTACAGGTAGTTCTTGACTTATGACCACAATTGGGATGGAATTTCCATCATTAAGCGATGCAGTCATAAAGAGAGACATCACATGACCGCATTGGGGGAAGGAGGGTGCTGGTGCGTGCAAGCAAACAAATGGGGAAGGAGAGCACTGGTGCATGCGAGCGAGTGAAGGGGGAAGGAGGGCACTGGTGTGTGTGAGTGAACAAAGGGGGAGGAGGGTGCTGGTGCGTGTGAGCGAGCAAAGGGGGGAGGAGGGCACTGGTATGCGTGAGGGAGAGAAGGAGGGTGCAGTGCATGCAAGTGAACAAAGGGGGAAGGAGGGTGCTGGTGCGTGCAAGTGAAGGGGGAAGGAGGGCGCGGTGCGTACATGCAAAGGGGGAAGGAGGGTGCAGCGCATGTGTGGGAGCAAAGGGGGAAAGGAGGGTGCAGTGTGAGTGAATGAGAGAAGAAAGGCCAGGGTGGTGGGGGAGACCTACTCAAGTGACTTGCAACCCTCCCTGCTGACCTCCCCGTTGACTTTGCTTGTGGGAAGCCGGCAGGGAAGGTTGCAAATGGCAGTCATATGATTGCAGGGTGCTTGGCAACTGGTGTATGTACAAACAGGTTGCCAAGGACCTAGACTATGTTCATGTGACCGTGGGGGTGTTGCAATGGCTGTAACTTTGGGGACCAGTCATAAGTCCATTTTTTTCAGCACTGTTGTAACTTCGAATGGTCACTGAACAAATGGTCATAACTCAAGGACTACCAGTATAGTTGCTGGTCTGAAGTGAACATTACGTGAATTTCCACCACTCAAGTTTTGCTGTAAATATAACTCTGATAATGAATCAAGGGATATGGAGTCATAATAATCATAACATTTTGGGGTGTTACAGGAGGAAGAGCCAGTGCAGAGACCCTCACAAGATAGCTACTTCCTTCTTTCTTCTTCAATTAAGAGGCAGAACATACTGGAAGAGGCTGAAAGGAAGCCTGACACTGTTTTCATTACCTTCTCTTCACCCAAGACTGATCTGAATTTGAAAGCACTCTAAACACTGCTGTTATAAAAAAAAACATTTACACTCTTTTCACAGTGGATGGAAGCCTGCACTACTCTCATTAACCCTGGATGAGACGCTGTAGAAGAGAAAGCAGTATCTGGTGCAGACAGCCTCAAAAAAAAGAAGAAAGAAAGGGAAGACATCAGCAACCCTGGGAAGGCTCTGCATTTAAATTATTCATCTTCTCTTGCCCACCCTGTATCAAGATAGAAAAAAGAAAAGAATGGAAAAATACTTTCAAAAACAATCTGCGAAGCAAAGAAGGAAGAAAGATGTACCCAAGTGGAGCAGAATCTTGAATGGGGTAATAAAATGTGGAATTAAATTTATGGGATAGAAAAGTATGAGAGGAGAACATAAGGAGTTGTCGTGTGCCAAGTATTATTTACCAGTCGGATAGCAACTCTCCAGCATGAAGAAAAAAAATCACATCACCTCTTATTGGGTCTTCTCTACTTAAATGAAAAGTGGGGCCTTTCAAAGGCCCTTTGCAGTTGTCACACTACCACTTTCTCTACAATTTTTCCCAAGAAGGGGAGGCTGAAGAGAAGTTGATAGTTGTCTAATACTGAAAGATCCAGGGCAGGCCTTCTGAGGAGGGGGTACAACAGTAACCCTTTCAAGACCACAGACTCAAAAACTTCACAGATAACATCAAAATGGCACTGTCTCTCATCTCATTGGATCTTGTCCACCAAGCTTGGAGTGAATAAGTACAATTTTTATAGCTAGACTATCACATTTTGCATTCTTCCTGCTTGTGTCAGGAGAAAACTTCTTGATGGCAAGATCCATACAATAGTGGAACAGTCCTATTACAGAGGTTGCAAATTCTCCATTCCTGGTGGTTTTAAGAGGCTGGACTTCTTGAGGATGGTTTAATTAGTCTTGCTGTACAATGCAGAGAGGTGGACTACATGATCCTCATGGTCCCTTCCAACCCGACAATTCTGATTCCTCTGCCTGTTGCTTCCAGTTTATTTCCTGGAGCTCCTCAGAAAGTCAAGGGGCCAGCCAGAATTAACTGGTGGGGGAAGGTCAATCATGAGGAATCCTATATACTGCTCTGTCAGACTCAGTGTTCCAGAAGTTGACATAGCGTTCAACAGTGCTATCCTCACGGGAAGCTCCAGAGAGGGTCAA